CCGCTCAGGTTGTCGAAACGTCAGTCACCAACAACAGTTCTTTTCAGAACTACACTCACCCGGACGATCTCACTATACGAACAACTCTTACAATGCATCGATGCTATGATTCCAGAAATGAGTTCACATGTACACTAGACGTAAGGGTTATGATTCCAGAGATGATCCCATATGTACACATTGCACTAAAGCCTATGATTCAGAGATCAGTTTTTGAACCCAAATGACAGCATAGTTATGATTTGTTAGTCGGGCGAAAAGCCGACTATAAAATTACCCTCGTATTTCCTGTCAAAGCTCAGTCACGTGCAATGGGCAATACCGCAGACACGTAATAAAGGCTCGACTTTCCTTCCGATGTCGAATGCGATGTCAAAAGGAAAAGATACTTCGAATATGTTAACAAATGGTGCCATCTTTTCTACGTTCAAACATACAGACCCAGACACCGTTCGCGGTAGATCCACTTTAAAAGATGGCGTAGTCAAAGAGCGTATATTCCCATACGGGTCGTTCCGCGAACTCCGCTGAAATAGCAACAGAACCGAATGAATTAGCGAAGGTCGTACTAGAACCAAACCAGAAATCAAATGAGTTATCAATGAACAGAAAATGTGAACAGGGATTCACTACAGCCGACAGAAGAACCTTTACGAAAGTTTTAGGTGCTGATAAAGACAAGGTGCGTCGTAATCAAACTCTAGGAAACATCAACTAAGATGCCTTGTTTGACTGCAAAAGTGGCTTTCGTCACAGTGAAGATTAACGTAATTTACATTAATATAGTAATTGTCATATTTATTTGACCTCACTCATTTATTATGTTTTTGCTCAAACAGGCCTTTGTGGCCTTATACTCCATTCACGAAGGAGCGAAGAGGATGAGTGTGCTCAAACAGATCTAGAGTACATTATCAGCTGTTATTTTCGTCTGTGTATTATATTCGCATGGAATATTAGCGTGGGATCAAATAACGTGGTGTCAAATAAATAAATAAGCTGATTTAGCAAGAGAACGGGAACGTCACTTGACGACGGCGCGCGCAGTACAAATACCCAATTATGGTCAAATTAGAACAGAATCCAGGCTATTCCGCGCGCCCTGCAGTCGTCATCTGACGTTCCCGTCCTGTTGCTAAATCACAGGGAGCACACAATCTTGTTGAATAGGAAGAGAGTACATAAAGGAATGAAAAGAACGAATAGTTTACCTTTGTCTCCCGTTGTTATTTCTTACGCGACCTTACAGAGAAAACCGCTGCTTTCAAGTCCTGCATAACCCCGTAGCGCTCAACTCGTACCTAGGCCTTTTCGCGCTCTGCAAAAAATTTTTTTTTGCGTTACATATAACATTGATAAGGGAGGCAACTCTTTGTCCAAACATTTTGAACGCAATCCGAATATTTGCTCGAATCTCTGAATTTCGTTGCTTCCACGAAACCAAACACACAAAACCAAGTCGAAAGATTTCTCTACAACTTGGCCGAATTTGTTTTCGAATACTTTCACGACAGTCGGAGAATTTTAACGTCTTTAGCAAAGTTTTTTTTCAAATCGTTTTTCGCAATGTGATCGTACCGTTGAACCGGTACCAGTAACGTCATCCGGCGCGCGCTCAAGCTCCCCTCCCTCTCCCACACATGCTTTTTGACAAGACAAATTTTTACAAACCCCTCC